TAGCCGCTTGCCCTCGCCTGAGAGACGAACCAGAAGCCGGCCGCTGCCACCCACCGCCGCACCGGAGGGATTCCGACCGCCGATCGAGGTAAATTTCATACTCCCGACTCGTTTTAACGCTGATTTCTCCTGTGGCCAAATCGGAGCCATAATCCCGGCCAAACGGCTAGAAAACATGGCCGAAACCCAGCGGCGCCGCCGCGCCCCTCCTCGGTTTTTGCCTCCGATGAGGCCCTTCCCGGCCTCCGTTTAATGCAATTTTTATATCATCGTGATCACCATTCTTTTCTCTACAGGTTGATCAGAGCCGAATCACCAAAACACGAACTTCACCGGAGAGCCGCCGCACCCGAGAGCATCGCCGCCGCACCCGAGAGCACCGCCGCCGGTAAGCTTCAGTTTTCCGTAATTTTTTGGCCCCCCGAGGGCCCTAGAGTTGTTTAATCGTACGGATCGATGCAAGTGTGGTCGAATTCGGCCAAAAACGGCCAAACCGAGGCAAATCGCCGACGCAAGCGGCGGCGGCGTTGCCGGAGCACGGCGGAGCCGTCGTGCCGGAATTGGGATATTGGCCAAAAAGGGGCCCTGGGCCTAATTTGGGATTTTTTGGAACACGTGCAGGTACCAGTAGTGCGTTTCAGTTCCCCGGAAAAATTCAGGGAAAATTAGGGACAGCCTGTAGGCGCACTGTGAAGCCGTGTTCGGACCCCGAAACGAGTAAGGACCCCTCACCCTATTTCCTATCATGGTATTAAAGTTCAATAAATGATAAAACGGTATTTCATGAATCAACGAATGTGTGAAATTGCTTAAGGTCGCTAATGGAGCCCGAGTCTAGTGTGGTTGTCGGTTAATTGTTATTTGCCATGTTTTACAGTTTAAAAGCAATATGAGGTTTGATGTTTTCATTTTATAGTTTCGTGTGCATATTTTACTGTTTTACCGATTATGGATTGAATGACTGGGATATTGATGCTGTATGTTTGTCTGTTTGGCATAAATTACTGTTTTGCTTGTTTGTATGTGGATTGATGATGCTGACTGAGGGAAAAGAGAATGATAGATTATGTAAATGGGTAATTGTATAATGTGGTCAGCCTGACTAGATATCCTGAGAGATGGTGGACGGACCGGGTCCGTAGGGAACCCTACCGGGATTGTGGTCTCCCATACCAGACGGGGTATGGAGATCTTATGTGTTTTGGCGCCCATACCGGACGGGGTATGGGGACGGCCCGTTTCACCCTCATACCGGACGGGGTAATGAGGTTTATAGTTTTGGCGCCCATACCGGACGGGGTATGAGGACGGCCCTGGAATATGATTTCAAGTGTTAAGGGTTAACGGGCAGCGGGACCCCTATGGATCCCCATGGATACTAGTGGGCTGGTAAAAGAGGAAAAATATGTTGTGTAACGATTGAATTACAAAAGGCTTGATAAGTATTATGTTATACAGTTCATATATGATTTCATGATGATGATAATGTTATTACTTTCGTATACTGTTTTATGGATTCCATCGAGGTAAGTGGATGGTGAAGGATTTATTATTGATAAAAGAATTTGTTGTAAATTATGCTCCATTGGTCTTTTTGTGTTTTCTACCCACCTTTACCTCCGTGACGGTGAGATATCGTGATGTCTTTACTGGGCTAGTGTAGCTCATTCTTTATTTAATCATTCCAGATCAGGAAGACATTGTTCCCGAGTCGGTTCCGCAGGAGGACGACGAAGGGGACGCCTAAAGACTCCATAGTCA